GAGACAATGTCAAAATAAATTTTGTATAGAGAACTATCGCGAATTTTAGAATTATTATTCTGTGTTTGAAGTGTCATATAATATTATACAACCTATGCGCAAAAGAAATAGTAATAATAGTTTTTAAATAATAGATTACAATCTCGTCATTTAAAGTACAGAATGCATTTTCATTCGATGAAATAAACTAAGTTAAAACAATCACTGAAATAATGAATTGGTTGAAAGGTCTCCCATTGTTTGGTATTCTGTTTGCTTATTTAACAATATGTTCTTGCAAATTGTTTGCAGACTAAATTATCGAATGCATTAAATAATCAGGATGTTACAAATGGTACGTAAATGCGAAAATAATGAAGAAATAATTTTATTGCTTCATCCCCTTTTCAGATACAAATTTAATTAATTAGCTGACACTTTGTTATTTGTTGTTCCGTGATTACTTCCTACTACGCACGAAGGAAGAAGCGAATTCATTTATATGTGCAAACACTTCATAATATTATCTCAAAGATTACAGTTACGATATATATATATATATATATATATATATATATATATATATATATATATATATATATATATATATATATATATATATACATTTGGCCTTCTTAAAATGAACATAAAACAACAGATGTTTATAGTCCAGTAAAGATATTTTCAAGCATCCGTATCAAGAAATATATTAATTGAAACAACAAAATTAAAGGTTTAATTTCTGTAGAAACAACCATGTAAAGTTTTGCAATCGCAATGAATTATTTTGTTTTATTTGTTTGTCTTGTCTATGTTTTGTATTTGCCTTTGAAAAATACTCATTAAGAGTCGAAAGCACTCAGGCTAGTTAGATGCTAGTTTTGCACTGTTCGTTAAAAGTTTATTAAAGTTGACCATGACAGGTCTAATTTTGAAACTGAATTTACAATCAATCGCAGAATCGAAGCAAACATTTTCTACAAGTTGTGTTGCTACTTACATTTGTTGTACGTCTCTTTCAGAACTGGTTGTACATTTTGTTGTACTAAGACCTTGTTAAACTTTATGCACTACTATATCTTGTGTTAAAATAATCACAGTTGACTGCTATGGTTTATGTTACGTAGCTATAAGAATAATGAAAAGGAAATAAATTGCATACTCTTGTGCGGTGAAAATAAATTCAATTACTTACCGCTTCCTTGATCTAAGACAGTCTTTTATTTTATGCCCTTACTTCAAATTACGTATGAAAGAAAAACAGTCATGATGCATAATTTCTTCAAACAACGATCAGACATTTTTATGCATGAATGGAATAAGGAAGGGATTAACCTATTACGGTTTTCAAACGCAATGATTCTTTGCTGATGTGATTCTCGCTCTTTATTTTACTTTGTAAGGAAGAAAGAGAATATTATCCGGTGACTTTATAGAATTCCGAATTTTTTTTTTACTGATACAAAACCCTTTGATTGATATAAATAACAAATAATCTTATAGATTAACGGATAGACTGTTGAGAATACCCTTTGAATGTATCTTCTAAATGTTTGTTTGCTGAACAAAAAAAAAAAAAGAATCTCCACTGACCTGTTCTTTAAAATATGCAATTTTGCTGCATGCAGATTTTTCCAGAATAAAAATGCATACACATTAGACGCTTGCATAAAATTGGCAACATCCATGTCTAGCTCGAAATTCAGAATGACCATATGACAGAGGGTTGCGCTCTATTCAGCATGGATTTACAAGTCGGCAAACAAATGATTAGGTCCGGAAGTATAATGTAAACGTCTCCAAAAGAACCCTTCGGTCTACGGTGGGCTATACAGCCGCGAGAAATACATGTGAGTGTATAAAATGTACACCGATGTATGCAGATAGGGTTGGCTGCCAATTTGTGCAGGTTTTACTGAACATGTGATTCAGCCCCTAAACCGCCGCCTGGTATCGTCACGGATGAGGGGCAGATTTACCGACGTAGGGTAGGTTTTGCTTTGGCTTTGCTGCTATCATAAATAGCTTGACACTGTTACACCAACAGGACCTAATGCAATGATTGCGAATGTTACAATGATTGATGACCTTTATATGAGAAGTGTTTATACCACAATAATGACCTTTGTATGACAAGTGTTTTTATTAAAATGATTGATGACCATTATATGAAAAGTGTTTACATTATAATAGTTGATTACCTTTTTACGTCAAGTGTTTACTTTGAATGATGACATTTTTCTATGCCAAAGTTTATATTACAATTATTGATGACCTTTATATGACAAGTATTTATACTTCAATAATTTATGCGTGGGTTCGAGTCTCGGGCTCAGCCAATGTGGAATATGTGAGAAAGCTTTCTGGTAGCTTATCGTGGGTTGATGGTTCTTTCCAGGGCTTTAAAGGGTTCTTCCTCCACCATTAATACTGGCCACCATGTAAAGCCTATCTTGTGCTGAAAAATGGCGTTAATCCCTAAAAAAACAACAACTACAATAATTTATTACATTTATATGAC